GCGCTGGGCGGGGCCCGAGTCTCCTCACTGTCAGCCCTGCTGATGCGGACCTGGCTTGGCCTCCGGGGTGAAAGCGGAGAGCTACGAACCGCGTCTGCCTTGTTCACTGCGGTGGACGGTGGACGCAGCGAATAGCACACATCCCGAGAACGCCACAAATAGCTAACGAATAATGTGTGGATGAGAACCCAGATTTAACAGGCGCTCAGCTTGTGCCGGGCTTTGTTCTAAGCTCCTAGCAAGTGAAGAAATGCGTGCACATTAAGTGCCGCAGTGTAGGCCTGGTCCATGTCGCCCTACATATGCTTACGTACCTTATGATACGGAGGTACATGAGAGTTTTTTCAGAGGGGGAGGGATGGGGGGCCGTGCCGGTGGTCGCACTGCTTGGTAGAAGGGGACATTCCAGTGGAGTAACGGGCCTCTACCAGGACGGAGAGGTCTGAAGGCTGTGGCTGGGGCATTTACTGCAGGGCAGTGTGAAATTAAGCCAGGAATGACACGTGGACACAGACTCTGAAGGGACCTGGCTCCCAAAGACCAAATCACACCTCCCCCCAGGCAAGGATGCTGCGAGGACCGAGAGGGGTGCCGCCTATATGAGGATATGTGCTTATAGTAGTGATGCCCGCCCCCCAGCAGCCCTGAACTGGCACTGCCCTTCCATGGGCTTCGGCATTTGGGACAGTAGAAGCAAGGGCTGGGATGCTTGCTGGCTAAGGTTCCCCTTGTTCTGTCCCACCCCAACCTCCCCTACACCACGACCATGTAAGGGCCAGAATCCAGGCGGCCCTCATTTGTGGTTTAGAGATGGCAGTTCCTTCTAAGGAGGTAATAATTGGCCTTAGAAAGTTCAAACCCATAACTTGCTTTTTCAGTTGAACAGAGGGAAGGAAGCCAAAGGCATTTTTATATCAAAGTACAGAGTCAGAGAGCTGAATCCTGATTGGTGAACTGATGATGGTATGATTCTATTGTCCCAAATCATCTTTGGAAAACTACATAACCTACAATATGCTTATTCCTTGCACAATTATCTGGTGCCAGGCCCCAGAGACTGCTGGAACACAGAGGCTAATCAGATGGTTCTTATCTTTAAGGAGTTTATGAAATAAATAACAGATTGGTTTCCCATCGTCCTGCCCTTCATCAATCCACCCTTGTATGATATGCCCACACAGTTCTAAATATCTTTTAGGAGGAAAAAATAGAACAACAGCAACAAGTTTGTATTATGGTCATAATAGTAATGAATGACAACAACACACGACCAATAGCTGATACTGAGTGCTCATTCCATGCTAGGCACTGTGCTAAGAGTTTCCTTCCATATGTCCTTTAGGGCTAGGAACTGGGATGAAGAGGCAGGTCACCATCTGAGACACAGAAATCCGCAGAGACCTGGAAGATAAAGAGACTGCATATTGGCTGCACCGTGAGTCAGCACCAGCATGGGAGACACTCAGGCAGCCAAGGGACTCAAACATCTGCAACCTGGCTCCGAGCCAAGGATACAGATAACGGGCTCCAAATTCCCAGTCCTGCACGATGGGCTCAAAACTAAAATCATTTATTATTTCTAAGAGGATGAAAATCAGAAAAAACTGAGTAATCCATCTACAAGGATTTATAAATGAACCAAATGTCCTTGCTGTGTTTGTTGTATTTAATATGTAAAAAGAAGAAGGTCAGTTGTGATTAGGGGCTTTCTACACAGAGTGCTGACATTCCATGTGCATTATGCCAGAGGCTGGCCAGACTGCACCGGTGCTGAGGGTGAGAGGAAGCTCTCATGGGGCCCCTTCTGCCTCCTGCCATAGGCCTGATCATACCCTGAGCTGATCCAAGGTGGGGGATCTACCCACCTGCTTCTCCCATGCATTTCTGTGTTTTAATATCTCTGCTTTCGCCTGTCAATGGTAGAACCTACTCTCAATTGTCAGGAAGTGCTGGAGAGAGGTCTTTCTAAGTCAGTGTAGGATGATAGTAGCTGCTTGTATTTATCAGAAATTGGTGATGTGTGGTCTGCACAGATGAAAGCATACCCACATCCTACCTCTCTTTAAAATATTATGTGGGTACCATGCATGGTGGCACAGGCCTATAATCCCTGACTTGGGAGGCTGAGGGAGGATTGCAAGATCACTCAGCAATTTAATGAAGCCCTAAGCAGCTAAGCAAGACCCTGTCTCAAAATAAAATTTAAAAAGAACTGGAGATGTGGCTCAGTGGTAAAGTACCCCTGCATTCAATCCCTAGTACCAATAATAATAATAATAATAACAACAACAACAATGGCTTCTCAAGTTCTGGCTGGTGGCAGCCTCATCCCCATTCTTGCCTCACTTAACCTGTGGACAGCCCAGAACCCTTTGGTAGAACTCCCCTGAACCACATCTTCAGGCTCCTTGATGGAAATCCCTTCCTCGCCCTCATAATTCCACATTGAACCCTCATTCATTCCATGAGCTAATTCAACCCCAGTTCTGGGAGCAGAGAGAGGTCCTCTAAGCTCAGAATTATCAGCACCAGCTGGGTGTGGCCCAGAGTGGGCACTGGTTACTGGGTGTGAAACCAGCATCTTACCCCAGGGCCCCCGGAATGAGTGCTGGTGGTGGAAGCGACAGAGTACTTATGGGTTTGACATTCCTTGCCACTTCAAGGCAGGCCACAGCCTTTGACCAGGACACAGCTAGAGGACTAAGCTAGAGCTCCACAGGGTTACAGGACACTTCTGATGAAGCTTCTTTCCAGGACCCACCCCCTTTTCTGTCTGGGCTATTTGGTAAGTAAGCCTTGGGGTAACCCGCAGGTTATGGGGTGAGGAGAGGATGCTCACCTGCAGGATCAGAACGGGTCGCTGGCGCCCTCTGGTGGTGCACAGGAGGATTGGAGGGCCCTCTTGCTTGGGAGGAGGCCTGGCTTCCCAACCTGCTGCCCATCCATGTGGGTGGAGGTTCCAGACTCACCTTCTCAAGGGTGTCTGAGTCACTTGTCCAGGATGGCAGAGTGAGTAAGGACAGTGACCAAAGGGGACTTCCAGCTTGTGTTTCTACCCATATCCCAAGTGAGAAGTTACTGCTAAAGCTTTTCTCTAACTGGGCAGGCAGCTGATGGGGTCTCCTGACTACTGGATTAAGTGTGACTCTGCTAGCCCTCTGAAGTCCTTGGTGCTACTCTGGTCCCTCCCAGGGGCATCCAGTGCTTTTTCTTATCAAAAACTGTGTCCCTAGCCAAGACCTCTGCTCCAGGCTGCTCAGGACCCCATCCCCTCTCAGGATGCTCTCCCTCCCTCCCAGCTCCCACCCTGCACTGACACATCCCTTCTTTAAAAGAGAAGGGAAACCCTGCCATATCCACACCATCTCTTTGTTGTCCTTTCCACAAACTCCTCAGAAATAAGTGTACACGGCTACTGCCTCTCGCTCCACCTTGGATGTGCTGTCCAGTCTTCTCCCTCCACCCAGACATTCCCAGCAAGTGCTCTGGCCCATGTCAGCCAGCCTCCACCTGGGCAGGCCCAGCGTCCGAGACTGAGAGTCCTCTTCTTGCTCGACGTGCTGTGGGCCCAGTGGGCCCTCGCTCCCTCTCTGCATCCCTCCTTCACTTATTTCAGCAGCCGCCCTCTCTGGTTCCTTCTAGTCTCTTTGCTGGAGCCCCCCCCCCCCACTCAGAAGGTTGGAGTGGCCCAAGGCTTGGTCCTCATCTGCTTTGCCTTCTGTCAACCATCCTTGGCCGGGCTGTCCCCAGCGGCAGACGTCAACAAGCTGCACCCCCCTATTCCAACCTAGCAGACTGTTCTATGTGGTTAGCTGGAGTGTTCTAGAAAATGCCGGTTGGGTCATGTTGGTTGGAGGTGTGGTTCAAATCTGTGTTCTTATTGATTTTCTGTGTACTCATTCTGTCAGTTATTGAGAGAGGCGTGCTAAAGTCTGGTTGAAGCTGTGGATTTCTCTTTCCTTGTAGTGCAATCAGTTTTTGCTGTTTGGAAGCCCTGGTGGTAAGTACATACACATACGGCATGCCTGTGTCCCTTCCTGAATCGACACCTTTTTTATTTGAAATGTCTCTGTTTCTGGTAATATTGTTTGCTCTAAAATCTACTGTCTGATTTTAACACAGCCACTCTAAGTCTCTCTTGTTTGGTGTTAGTGTAGTATCGCTTCTTCCATTCTTTCCTGTTAACCTCTCTGTGTCTTTTTATTTAAAGTATGTTTCTGGGTGGCAGCATATTGTTAGTTTTTGCTTTAAAAAAATCTGATGATTTCTGCCTTTGGGGGTTGATTATGGATATGGGTGTGGTGTTTAAGCCTACCATCTTGCTATTTCATTTCTATTTGTCCCATCTATTCTCTGTCCAGATTTGAACTCTGATCCCTCTCACAGCCCTTCCTCCTCCAGAGCTCCCCTGGCAGGACACACTGCCCCTGTCCACCCTGATGCTCAGGCCAAAGCCCCTGTCCACCCTTGATGCCTCGCCTTCCTCCACGTGCCCATCTGGTGCACCAGCCAACTCTCGGCTCTCCCAAGTACCTCTGAAATCCTGTCTCTCCCACCTGCCCTGCTGCCTCATGAGCTCCAAATCCCACCTGCCCCCCAGGACTGCTGCCTGAGCTGCCTGCAGGCTGTTCTCCACCGCAGAGGGACTGGTCTTCATAAGGTAAGTCAAAGTCATCTCTTCTGTGTCCAAATGCTCCTGTGGCCTCTCCTCTCACCTGGGGAAAACCACCCCGGAGCCTGCTCACCTCTGTGTTGTTCCTGGGTCACACCAGCCATGCCTTAGCCTAATGTTTTTCCTCTTTCTCCTTCTGGAATGGTTTTCTTCCAGGATCTTCGGTGGCTCACTCCTCCCACCTCAACCCACGCTCAGGCCTCTGCTGAAGTCCCCCTGAGGGAGAGGAGGCCTGTTTGAACACCTTCTCCAAAATAGCACCCCCACCAAGCCCCCCTTGCCTGGCTCTGTTTTTATTCCCAGCTCCTTTCTTTGAAGTACACATACTTGGGTTTTTAGTTCATGATCTCTGTCCCGCAACTAGAACGCAGTTCCACAAGGGCAAGTTCCTTCTCCGGCGAGCTGCGCACTCGTGGCCTGCACCAGCACTGACGATGCCGTTCTGCTTGCCAGTCGTGTGAGTACAAGAGCTATTTGGGGCATGAGTCAATGAACAGGGTACTTCCATCCCCAAGGCGAATTACAGGGTGAGTCTAAGAGAACAGAGCCTAATAAGATACGCTCCTTGTGGGCTGTGGCTGTGGCTCAGCAGTAGAGCGCTTGCTTAGCACACACACGAGGCCCTGTGTTAGATCCTCAGCAGCACATAAAAGTAAATAAATAAAAATAAAGGTATTGTGTCCATCTACAACTAAAAAATAAATATATATAAAAAGGATATGCTCCTTGGTGACCAAGCAAACACAGCAAAACTGATTTGTAGAACCCCCCCATGGGTTACTTCTGTGAAATTAAAGATGTGCACTAAGCACATTGACGTCACGTACCCATCAGTCCCCGGTGGGATCCATCCCAGGCTCCCTAGTTTTTCTCCATCCATAGTTGGAATGGCAACCAGGATGCATTTCTTCAAGACTTTGAAAAGAAGTGACACAAATACAAAGGTCTTGAGGGATATCTGGAGATTTGGGGGATGCCTACGATGGGTTGAATTGTATTCCTCCCAAAGGAATAAGACCTGTATCTGTGAATGTGACCTTATGTGGAAACAGGGTCCTTGCAGATGTCACTGAGTTGAGATCAGTCTGGATCAGGGTTAGCTCTACATTCAGTGACCAATATTCTTCTCAGGAGAGGGAAATATGGACCCAGATCCATGCATACACACAGGACGAGCCCCGTGAGCTTAGAGAGATGCATCTGTAAGCCAAGGTACACCAAGGGTGGCCGGGACCCAGGAGAGAGGCTTGGAGCAGATTCTCCCTCTGGACTCCTGTGGGAACCAACCCTGCAGACTTCTAGGCTCCAGACCTGGAGAAGAATCCGTTTCTCATGTTTCAGCCATGTGCTCTGGGGTGCTTTGCTCCAGCATCCCTAGGAAGCCACCAGGGCTGCATTCCAGGGGCAGCTCAGTACTTTGACCAGAGCGACAGTACACCATGGGAACTGTCAAGCAGGGAACTGAAAGATCACATGATGGGAGAGGACTTCATCTGCCAGGACATGGAGTTGTCTGGGATGTCCTGTGGCTGTGGGATAAACCACTGCGCTTCCAGACAGAGTGGCAAATCCATCTGTCCTGCATTCCTCACAAAACAGAATGGGTCGAAGGCCTGTGCGTTTGATGTGGCTCGGAGACAGTGACTTTGGTAAGTCCCTCTGTGTGATGGCTGTGGCTGCTCTCAGGGCCTGCAGGCCTGTGCTTTTCTCTGGAAACTTGTTGGAGTCCAGGGGGTCTCAGGAGACGAACGGATGGGGAGGAGTCACTGAAAGGCGGCGGAGAAACAACATAGACACAAGAGGGAAGGTGTTGCATCTGATTCTTTACTTGTGAAGTTAATCATATATACTTTTCATTTTGGGAGGCTCATAGTATTTTGTGGTTACAAAACAGGAATCATTATTCAAAGAAACAAAATTTTATGCAGCTACAATTAGATAAGACAAATGTCTCTTGGCCTGCATAAGCAAGCAT